TCAAACCACACACGCACTATGAGCCTCCAGGCTGGGCAGAGCCCTGACAACGCACTGCTGTAGATAGAATTGTTATATTACGGAAACAAGATCAAGTAAAGGCACTGTGTTTGTAGAAAGCAGTGAAACTAGCCAGACGACTGGTGAAATTACGACAGGAGAGCTAATCCGAAAGGAAGTCGACAACCAGACTACCACAGACAGAAAAGTAGTAAACCTTCAGAAACAGATATCACTTGTAAATGCCTTATGTCGATGATTTGACACATAGTAAGTAGTAAACAATTTGAAGGGTCTTTGTAATTATTATTAAAAAAAATGTTTTGCCTTCCATTCTCTTATAGATTATTTTTTTTTTCCTTTATTTAATTTTAGTTTTATAGATAAACTATTCATTTTTTTTATCTCTGTGCTACGTCTTGTGTTAGCTGTCATTATGTAACCTTTATTCACAAAACAGAGCATTATTTTCGTATGTGCATATCTACTGTAGTAAAGGGTAACAGCTGTTTTGCAATCTTTCTACACTGACTTTTGCTTCCAGATATACCCAGACAAACTTAGCTACCAGGTGTGCCCAGACTAACTTAGCTCCCAGGTATACCCGGACTAACTTAGCTCCCAGGTATACCCAGACTAACTTTGTTCCCAGGTACACCCAGACTAACTTAGCTCCCAGGTATACCCAGACTAACTTAGCTCCCAGGTATACCCAGACTAACTTTAGCTCTAGCTATACTCACACAATACCCAAACTAACCTGGCTAACATACATACCCAGACTAACTTTGGCTCTAACTATACTCACACAATACCCAAACTAACCTGGCTAACATACATACCCAGACTAACTTTGGCTCTAACTATACTCACACAATACCCAAACTAACCTGGCTAACATACATACCCAGACTAACTTTGGCTCTAACTATACTCACACAATACCCAAACTAACCTGGCTTACATGAATACCCAGACTAACTTTGGCTCTAGCTATACTCACACAATACCCAAACTAACCTGGCTAACATACATACCCAGACTAACTTTGGCTCTAACTATACTCACACAATACCCAAACTAACCTGGCTTACATGAATACCCAGACTAACTTTGGCTCTAGCTATACTCACACAATACCCAAACTAACCTGGCTAACATACATACCCAGACTAACTTTGGCTCTAACTATACTCACACAATACACAAACTAACCTGGCTAACATACATACCCAGACTAACTTTGGCTCTAACTATACTCACACAATACCCAAACTAACCTGGCTAACATACATACCCAGACTAACTTTGGCTCTAACTATACTCACACAATACACAAACTAACCTGGCTTACATGAATACCCAGACTAACTTTGGCTCTAACTATACTCACACAATACACAAACTAACCTGGCTTACATGAATACCCAGACTAACTGTGGCTCTAACTATACTCACACAATACCCAAACTAACCTGGCTTACATGAATACCCAGACTAACTGTGGCTCTAACTATACTCACACAATACCCAAACTAACCTAGCTTACATGAATACCCAGACTAACTTTGGCTCTAACTATACTCACACAATACCCAAACTAACCTGGCTAACATACATACCCAGACTAACTTTGGCTCTAACTATACTCACACAATACCCAAACTAACCTGGCTTACATGAATTGTTGTTGTTGTTGTTATCGATCCAGCGGCGCATGAGCTTTCGCCCTTTGGCCCAATGCCATGTAGTGGAATTTGCATGTTTTCACAAGCTGTTCTTTTCCTCCGTACAAGGTGTTCCACTTGTCTGGTCTCGGAGGGAGTAGCGTTCTTCTTGTCTCACTGAGTTTTGGGCACTCAAAGAGATGGTGTTCAACAGTTTCGTAGGGGTAGTTACATAGCTGGCACTCTGGGGGGCTTACATGAATACCCAGACTAACTGTGGCTCTAACTATACTCACACAATACCCAAACTAACCTGGCTAACATACATACCCAGACTAACTTTGGCTCTAACTATACTCACACAATACCCAAACTAACCTGGCTAACATACATACCCAGACTAACTTTGGCTCTAACTATACTCACACAATACCCAAACTAACCTAGCTAACATACATACCCAGACTAACTTTGGCTCTAACTATACTCACACAATACACAAACTAACCTGGCTTACATGAATACCCAGACTAACTTTGGCTCTAACTATACTCACACAATACCCAAACTAACCTGGCTTACATGAATACCCAGACTAACTTTGGCTCTAACTATACTCACACAATACCCAAACTAACCTGGCTTACATGAATACCCAGACTAACTTTGGCTCTAGCTATACTCACACAATACCCAAACTAACCTAGCTTACATGAATACCCAGACTAACTTTGGCTCTAACTATACTCACACAATACCCAAACTAACCTAGCTTACATGAATACCCAGACTAACTTTGGCTCTAACTATACTCACACAATACCCAAACTAACCTGGCTAACATACATACCCAGACTAACTTTGGCTCTAACTATACTCACACAATACCCAAACTAACCTAGCTTACATGAATACCCAGACTAACTTTGGCTCTAACTATACTCACACAATACCCAAACTAACCTAGCTTACATGAATACCCAGACTAACTTTGGCTCTAACTATACTCACACAATACCCAAACTAACCTGGCTAACATACATACCCAGACTAACTTTGGCTCTAGCTATACCCAGACTAAAATTGGCTCCAGCGGTTCCCAAATTAACCTGGCTCCCAGTTATACCCTGACTTATTTAGCTCCCAGGTATACCCTGATAATATTGGTACCAGACAATGTCTAGCGAAAACAGGCAGTGAGCTTCATGCTGTCGACACCAATCACCGTGTGTCCCGTATGGTACATATGTTGCTAGTTATTTTGCATACGTTGCTAGTCATATTTATCAGAGAGAGCAACAGAACACAAGACATGTTTGTTGACATTTATAGACCAAGAAAAAGCCTTTGATAGAGTCCACAGGAATATGTTGTGGGAATGTATGAGGGAAAAGATAATCAGCTATCTCATTAATATTTGCACAAGCCTGTACACACCTAGTAAATGCTGTATACGATCAAAGGCAGGGTTGTCAAGAACTTTTAAAGTAAATTCTGGTGTGCGTCAGGGCTGTATACTACAGCCGGCTTCTTTTTATAACATACATGGATACCATATGTAAGGAAATGAACTTTAATCATGAAGAAGATATTACAGAATTACTATCCGCCAACGACCAGGTACTCATAGCCGAAAGTACGGAATGCCTACAGAACCACCTAAATCAAATTAGTAACAAAGGGGAGGAATATAACATGAAAAAAAAAAAATAATAACAACACTACGAATACAGAGACAATGGTGATGGGAAGACAGAAATACAATTTAGAAATTAAATTAAAAAACAACACCTAGAGACAAGCAGAGGAATTTCAGTATTTTGGAGCAATTTTCACATCCGACGGAAAACTGCACAGAGAAATCGGCTCGAGATGCGCCAAAACTAATCAAGTAATGGGGCAACTATCTCCCCTGTTGACACACAAGCAGATACCCCGGAGTACTAGGGTGAATCTTATCAGAACTATTTTTTGGCCAACGCTATGCTATCAGTACCAAACGTGGACACTTACATCCTCCAATGAACGTACAATTGTGACAACAGAGGTGGAATGCTTTAGAAGAGCTGCAGGAGTTTCAAGGAAAAACAGAAAACAAAATCACGAAATCAGACAAATGATAGGAATAAAACCAGTCTTACAGGTCATCAAAGAACAATAAATGAATTGGTTTGGACACCTCACGGGCATAGAGCTAGTGGAAGACCTCAGAAAACATGGAGTGATGGCATTAAGAACAGCCTTACAGAAATGAACATCAGTCTTAATAGTGCTCTTGACAGATCTCATCACCGAATGTTACATCTTCCCCCCTACACTTCGATGAGGTACAAGGTGGAAGAGAAGAAGAAGAAGAAGAAGAAGAAGAAGAAGAAGAAGAAGAAGAAGAAGAAGAAGAAGAAGAAGAAGAAGAAGAAGGAGGAGGAGGAGGAGGAGAAGAAGAAGAAGAAGAAGAAGAAGAAGAAGAAGAAGAAGAAGAAGAAGAAGAAGAAGAAGAAGAAGAAGAAGAAGAAGAAGAAGAAGAAGAAGAAGAAGAGAAGAAGAAGAAGAAGAAGAAGAAGAAGAAGAAGAAGAAGAAGAAGAAGAAGAAGAAGAAGAAGAAGAAGAAGAAAAAGAAGAAGAAGAAGAAAAAGAAGCTAGTAATATTTTATAGAGCAATCGGCACAGCTAGATCATTGTCACTCTAACCTATCCTGCTGACTCCCTGCAGAGGTAAAAAAAAAGGGCAAGGGATGCCGAGAAAGCTAACCGGGCGACAACTTGTCAAAGCCAAATGTGTTGGCGGGAAGGCGCAAATAAGTCAATTTTCGAAAGATAATGTCAGGAGGTGATGTTAAACAATGCGTGGGGGAGAGGAGGGGGGGGGGGAGGGGGCATACGTGTTACCATGTATAGAAGTTATCACCTTTTAAACTGTTTTCATAGATTATCATACGCTTTGTTAAAGATGGATGAAGAGACGGATGAATGAATGGATGGATGGATGACAGACAAGCGAGCTACTGCTTCATTCATAGGAACATTTTTTATTAATTCTTATTTGAAGTGAGAGCGGTTTAATGCATTATACACAGGAACATCTGTAAACTCTCTCTCTCTCTCTCTCTCTCTCTCTCTCTCTCTCTCTCTCTCCCTCCTCTCTTTGTCTCTCTCACTCCCCTCTCTATGTCTCTTCTCTCTCTCTCGCTTCCCTCTTTTTTAAAGACACACACACCCATTTGCATATACATTCACACACACACACACAAACACACATATATAGACAAACACACACACACAAACACTGCAAATATACAAACGGCCTAGCCACAGAGAGCCATAACACACTAATACCTGGTTTCGTCAACGTAAACAGTTTCCAACACGCTGGCTGCATACTCAAGGTTCTTTTTCATGTCATCTTTGTTGAGTTCATCCTTCTCCAATCGCCGTACCAGGTTTCGTAGTCTGCAACAGTCAGACACATTATTATATAACACATTTATCTACGCTATAGTTATATCATCATCATCATCACCATCATCATCATCATCACCATCATCATCATCATCATCATCATCATCATGTTTCAGCAGATTCTTTACAGGAGGCTGTCCTAATCACGGAACGCCTGAAAGTCTCTCTTAATCTAGCAATTCACCAGCCCTATATGCTTGCATTGCCACTTCATCTTGAATGTCTTGTAACCACCACCTTCGCGGTGGTCGGCCTCGTTTTCGGGAAAGTGTACCCACCATTACGGTTAATGTCTTGGTCCCCGTGGAGGTCAACATGTCCAACACATATCAGTTATCGGGACAGGATGCTGTTTATGCGCAATTTCTCGTTCACTTACAGATCATGCAATACGTCGATATTTTTAGTTAGATTATATACGAATACATGTTTACATCTTTACAAGATCGCAATTACAAATATACTGGACAGAGCAGATATCACAGCACAATAGTTTTCTCAATATTCAGTCTTCGAAGGCACAGGTGACTTAGACACACATAGAGGATGGAGGATGGTAGAGCCAGCTAGGACATCCTATGTGGTGAATTACAGATTGTTAGAAAATACTGGGGTGGTCTTACTGGCAGTTCCCTTGAGTGTATATACATATACATGTGTGCAAATGCAAACATATATATACATAGATGCAGTCCGAAGTGGGTGTGCAGACGTGTATTTTCTTTATATGCATATATATATATATGTGTGTGTGTGTGTGTGTGTGTCTGTGTGTAATTGTACACGTCTATATATATGTGTGTGTGTGTGTGTGTTTGTCTGTGTGTAATTGTACATGTCTATATATGTGTGTGGGTGTGTTTGGTGCATACCATCACCCCTCCACAACAACCCTCACTAGGCACTAGAGAACCAGTCCAAGCCACTAGTTTTAGTGCAGTTAACTTGTCTTAGCCAACATACTTGGCACAAAGAAATCCGACCACAATTATAATCGATACTGCTCGCAGTAGGTTGAACGTTGTCAATTTTTGTTTGTTTTTTATAAATAAATAGATGGATGGATTGATGGAGTGGGGTCGGCCTTCTACCAACCTTTGAAGATGAGTGCAGGCGAGAAAAACATGATACCCCGTGGTGAGATGCATTCGTGGAAACATCGTGTTGTGGATCACACCCAAGGAGAGACAAGTGGGAAGAAAACTGAAGCACGGAAGCTATGACTACAGACAACGAAAGAGCTGGGAGTCTGAGAGTAGCAGTAGTAGTACTTTTACCCCACCAGGACATTACACAAGCGATAAACACCCGATGACACAAAGTGCTACCATAGCGGACGAGGATCGCCGTGGACAGGTCCCAGAAACCGCGTGCAGACATTATACCATATTCATGGCCGAACTATATTGCGGCCCCTGCAAGAGCCATAGTAGGGCTTCAAATAATGAAAAATTGCATCCCAAAAAGGAATGACAATAAAAATTTGAGAAGAAACGTGACATATATATGTAAAGTAAAGAGTGGGTGATGTGGTCAGCATTACACTGGAAGCCTTTACTTCCCAGGCCTGCACCTGGTACCCACTCAGGGCTAGGTCGGCTTGGGAGCCAAGGGAGGCTCGCCTCATATATATGTGATGGCAACAATTATTTTAAAATCGCATGTAAATACTAGGAAGAATTGCCTTTCTCAAGTCTCGAGTCTCTTGCTAGTCCCACTCGCCATCGCCATGGGCTGTGATTCCAATGATATCCCTATAACAATATGGAACAATATCTTTTAGAAAAAGTAGCATATTTGTTTCTTTCTCGTTTTGCCAAGCAATGTTTATGTTCAGTATATTGCCATTATGTGAATCCTGGACAATCGGTAGGCAGGCCAAACAATTTTTAGAGGCCTCAGAGATGTGGTTTTACAGAAGAATGCTTAGAATACTTTGGATAGCTAAAAAGAGCAACCAAGAGGTTTTGAAAGAGGCGGGAGCCCGAAGACAACTTATCACAGACATCAGAAGGAGACAGTCATCATTTTTCGGCCATGTTATGAGAAGAGGGAAAATAGAACATGTTGTGACCACTGGAAAGATCTGAAAAAGGGACAGAGGAAGACAACGACAGAAGATGCTTGACAGTCTTGTTGCATGGCTGGAGGTGTGTCGGCACACGAACTGATACATGCTGCAGGAGATCTCAGATTTTGGAGAGGCAAGATCGTCCACGCCAATCGGCAAGGCACCTGATGATGATGATATTGCCATTGCTTTATTGGCTTAAATTCCTAAAACCGTTGTGAACATTAACGCAATGCGGACTTCTGCCACGTCACCTGCAGCTGGAATCGAGCAGGGTACCTAGTATAAGTACCTGTACACAACAAATAAAAAACAGGACCATTCAATAGCCGGTTACCTAAAAATTACAGAACGCGCTCGCAACGCTAAAGCAACAGACGCCGGTTACCAGTTTTTACATACTAACACAAACAAGTACGCTCTGCAGGCGTGCATCCATCCATCTATCCATTGATCCATCCATCCATCTATCCATCAATCCATCCATCCATCTATCCATACATACATACATCTATCAATCCATCCACCCATTCAAAAATCCATCCATCCATCCATCTACCCATCCATACATATGTAATTATGTGTGTAAAGATGTGAGTGTATGTATAAATGTGTGTATGTATGCATGTATGTGTAAATGTATGTATGCATGTATGTGGGTGTATGTATTCATGTAAGTATAAATGTGTGGTTGTGGGCATAAGTTGGTGTCTGAACATGTGATTGTATATGTGTGTATGCACGGATGCATGTATAGGTGTGTGTATGGAATGCGTGTGTGCATGTATATCCATAAATGTATGTACATACATACATACATACATACATACATACACATACACACACACATACACACACACGCACGCCCGCAAAAGCACACACACACATACATACACACAAACACAGGCAGGCAGGCAGGCAGGCAGGCAGGCAGGCAGGCAGGCAGGCAGGCAGGCAGGCAGGCAGGCAGGCAGGCAGGCAGGCAGGCAGGCAGACAGACAGACAGACAGACAGACAGACAGACAGACAGACAGACAGACAGACAGACAGACAGACAGACATACATACATACATACATACATACATACATACATACATACATACATACATACATACATACATACATACATACATACATACATACATACATATATACATACTTGAAGAAGATCATAGGTAATACAAGCACATAGCCAAATGAGAGCTTATTTGCGGGATGGGCTGGGGTGGGGGGCAAAATAAAAGAAAAGGAGAGTAACAAATGAATGGATAAATAACACGTTATTAACACTTGTCGCGCTTAGTTACACCCAGATATCAGCCAGAATGAAGTAACTGTTATTGTGTAATTTTACTGGACGTCGCAGACGTAACCCCATGCATGTTACAACATGCAGGTCGTTGCCCCAGCTGATGAGTTAGTTTAAAACGTTATCTCAGCTAATGAGTTAGTTAACAAGTTGTCCCAGCTGATGAGTTAGTTAACACGTTGTCCCAGCTGATCCGTCAGTTACCACGTTGTCCCAGCTGATGAGTTAGTTAACACGTTGTCAGAGCTGATGAGTTAGTTAACACGTTTTCCCACCTGATGAGTTAGTTAACACGTTGCCCCAGCTGATGAGTTAGGTAACGCGTTGTCCCAGCTGATGAGTTAGTTAACACGTGGCCCCAGCTGATGAGTTAGTTTAAAACGTTGTCCCAGCTGATGAGTTAGTTAACACGTTGTCGAAGCTGATGAGTTAACACGTTTTCTCTCCTGATGAGTTAGTTACACGTTGTCCCAGCTGATGAGTTAGTTTAAAACGCTGTCCCAGCTGATGAGTTAGTTAACACTTTGTCCCAGCTGATGAGTTAGTTAACACGTAGTCCCAGCTGATGAGTTAGTTAACACGTAGTGCCAGCTGATGAGTTAGTTAACACGTTGTCTCTGCTGATGAGTTAGTTAACACGTTGTCCCAGCTGATAAGTTAGTTTAAAACGTTGTAATTTGCTTTTTTTTTTTTTTTATCCTTGTCACATTGCCCGGACCATGTCTCCCATAGCACCTAATTTCTGTGCCATCTTTTGTTTGACTTCATGATTTTTAATAGTTTTGTCATGTGCACTGTCCAGTACCAGATAATGTTGCAACAAAAATTACCATTTCTAGCCATGGATAGGAGACACACACAAAAAAGACAGGTAGTGAGTGGGCAAGAGACTGAAGAGAGAGAGAGAGAGAGAGAGAGAGAGAGAGAGAGAGAGAGAGAGAGAGAGAGAGAGAGAGAGAGAGAGAGAGAGTCACTCGAAAAACTATCAGACACATGAGACAATGACAATTAGAGAAAACGTGACGGTTGTCTCAAATGGAGATATCCCTACAGAGAAGGAGACACAGCTGCTAAGGCTCAGTGAGGAAAGGGAAGGGGGTAGGGGACAACGGGGAACATGCGAGGTGGGAAGAAGAGATAAGGAGAAACATAAGAGGTGGCGAAGGGGTTTAAAGACATGAGAAGCTGTCTTCGTAGAACAGGCCATAGACAAGTTGGCTTATGTGGTAAAGTGTAAAACACTGCCTTAGCGAAAAGGAATGTTTGCTTACTAGCCTACGAGTATTCGGTTCGTATGCCGATTAGGGCACATGTTTAGCTGTAAACGAAAATTATATGGGCTTCCAGGTGAACGGTGCCTACAATAGGTTAGTTGCGTATCCTTTACAGGACGTTGCAGAACCAACCACAACAGCCGCTGGCTGTTGTGTGGTTTTTCTAGGCAAATGTACGTCCAGTAGTTTGCCACTGCTTTCTGGATGGTCGGCTTTCTTGATACCACTGTCGAAACCAACGCAAGGCACATGGCCCGCAGCTGGGATCGAACCGGGCACCCCGGCATTACGAAGCGTTCGCATCGACTTAACAACAGAGCCGACTGCCTAGAATAG